CTACGGATTTGAAGTCAGAACACTATCATTGATAACACTCTCCTCCAATTTGCAGACCCTAGTTACCATGATATAATACAAAAATATCACAATGATAAAATCAATCAATAATTATTTATAACTATTTATACTGAGACTCATGCATGCAATTAATCCATAATAATATTTTAAATTTTGAAATCATATTCATTTTTAGAAACTGCTTCTAAATCTTTCAATCCTTCCACTTCACTTGCTATTCTCTTCAAACCACACCTATGAGGTGTGCCACACTGTTTGGGAACCCATGGCTTAATGTGAGTCTAGTGTAATGGTTGTCAGTGAGGAAAATGGAATCTGAGTTTGTTGAGTTCAAATTCTGATCTATTTTGTTTCATTCTCTTTGGGCTAATTCCCACAAAAAAGGTATGAATCTGTTTTTCTTTAGCTATGGATTAAATAACACAAGAGACTGCACTTTCTTGCCTTGGCTGGCAGCCACTCTAACAGGACAACCCTGAATTCAAAACCACTCTCCATTAGGCTATCTTGACAGTCAGTTTTACACAGCCACTTTTATTGATTAAATGTATTAAGAGTGCACTAATTTCTGAATCCTCTATGGTAAACTGACATCCAGGATTATACAAAATATTTCTCTTTCTCGGTAAAACTACTGCTGATACAATGTGAAATAATTAAAAACATTAAGAATAAAAAATAAAACTAATAAAGAGTTGAATGTGATAGGCTATTTGAAAATTTAAATGTCAAGGATCTTTCTACTTTTACTATATCAATGTAAACTGCCTTTCCATCCTGGGTATGACAATAAACTACATCCAGCAGCAAGACCTCTGATCTGAACGTGGAACCACCTCTTAACTGCTGTTGTTCTCAGGTTTGCCCTGACCTGATGCAGTAACAAAACTGGGTCAAAAAACTGAAAGTATAGATTTTTAAAAAAATAAATTACCAGCAACAGATTTTTGTAAAAAGAAAAAAATCACTCAAGCTCCCAAGTAAATTAAATTTCAGCACTGAATGATCCATAAGGATTTGACATACTGTTAAGCAAACAATAAACTGCAGTTGGTATTCATTGTATTATTTCTCTTTTTATATATCACTATTTTAATGCCATGTCTCTTCAGGATATAGACAATCATGACATTCTCCAGATTCCTTTTCTTTACTTTCTACAAATAGCAATAACTCCCTGGTAAAGATAGCCGACAGGTTTTTTGTTGCATTTTCCACAGTTTTGTGTTCAGAGGTCTTTTTCTTAGATTGGTTGACACCCAAGGCTGGTGAGCATAGTTTATCCTGTTGTTTAAACCATAACCGTTATGAGAAGAGATAGAATTATGCCTTCCCCAAAGACATTTGTGTGAAAGTGAATGCAATAGATATGCTCACAAGTTGAACTTGGCTCACCAATTCTTTATATATAGCATTGATAAAAATGCTAACTGGAGACATGTTTTTCTGAACAAAATGTATCATAAAAAAGTTTTATATCTTGTCATTTATTTACTCACTATTATTCAGATATTTAATTTTATATCATATTTTTACAAATATATGCACATATATATATATATATATATATATATATATATATATATATATATAATAAGATTAATATAAATATAAAATTTGTCATTTGGCTGATTGATGCTATATTCAGCAACTCCACTCTAGAGTTTCATAGACAAAACTTTGTGTAATTGTTTGGTCCACTCATCAGGAGATATCAGCAAATGTCTGCCAATTTTCTCTAGTTTTTGTTATTTTTATATTAAGTTAAAAAAAATAATTTATATATTTTTTTAATGATGTTACCTTGATTTTTTTTCTTTGTATATATATATATATATATATATATATATATATATATATATATATGTGTGTGTGTGTATGCATGTCTATACATGTGCACATGAACAGGATGTCATGTTTATTTCTTCTTTTCTTAATTTAGTTGTCTCTTTATAATTTCTCATTATTCCTTTTCTTTCTTTTTTGGCTCTGAGTGTCAAAAGATAATGTAGGAAAGTTATTTCCAGGGTCAGACACAACTTTAAAATTAGGTTCACACCCCAGAATATTTATATGAGAGAGAAAATCATATATAAATTTTTATATATCATATTAGGAAAATCAAAGTGGAAAAAAATTTTCATGTAACCTATTCCATCATTTAGGACTTCATCATACTAAAGTGATGTTTACATTGATGTAACTACACATGCATATAAAAGAGAGGAAATCCTGAAATTTTAATCTTTAAATATCTTTTTTAAATGCATTTGGCTATATAGTCTAAACTATTAGCTAGACTACATAACTGTTGTAGCATACCTATGGACAATAATGGGTATGCCCCCATTCACATAAACACAGTAGTAAATACTGTATGTTGGTCTGTAGTTGGAGATTCATCTCCTGCTGCGCTGGTCAAACTCTCTGCCTTTGGGCAGAGAGGATCCACAGATGAGGTTATGTTGAAGAGCAGAGTCTTGTCTCAGGAAACAGCTACCTAACCCCATTTTATACGGGGTCTACGGGAATGTTTGACCAAGCCTATGGGCTCAGATACCCCACATTAAATTTGGCCTCGTGCTACATCTGACTGCGTGGAGAAGTTGATAGATATCCTGCTGTTGGAGATTCATTGTGGAATTCACTTGACTCACTTCTAGCAGTTGACTACTTCTTCTATGCACCACTGGTGAAACTTATATGTGTTGTTCTTGTCCTAAGTATTATCATTCATTACCAACCTTCATGTGATTATTCTATTCAGTAACCTTCTCTAGGTTACAGCAATGACCAAACACTAAAGGACAAAACATATCACACAAAAATACTTTTCCACTTTGTCTTTGATTTTCCTTATACATACATATATATATATATATATATATATATATATATATATATATATATATAAATCAGATGAGAATCTGATGGAATGCTATGTTAATTATAAGGCAATTTTAAAATGTCTACTTTGGCTTGTTTCATCAATGAACCAGCATCATCACAAAAGGAATTTTATTTCACAAGAAAATCTACAATGTATATTTTGTTCTTGTTTTTTGGTTTTTCAATACTTCCATATGGTATCCTGTGAAGACTGAATGCACTCCAAACAAGCATGTTGGAACTCCAATACTTTTATTGAAATATTCACTTCAATATCCACAGCTCATATGACAAAATCAAACCATAATTTTGTCTTGCTCCTTGTAAATACTTCCAGAATACCATCCAAAAATACCAGGGTCATAAAACATTTTTTATCAAAAAAAAGTCTACAAGGTTTTCACAGCAGCCATTTCTGACCCACTGACTGACTATAAATCCAACACTGATTTCCCCCACAATTGCAGATCCAACTTGTCTGGCATTAGCGACTGACTTCATGGCATGCAAACTTAGCCAGGCCATCAGCAGCATCACAAAGGTGCTTCCACCAGTAGCAATGCCTTTGATCAGTGACGAAACCATCAGCAGCAGAGACTAACTCCCAACTACTACAGTTTATGTGTGTTGGTTTTCTCCATGTGCCTATTTTGACTACTACCTTGGGTTATAACACTAACAAACTCCCAGTTTCCTATGATTGATATACAATATCTTAGAATGATCAAACGATTGAACCTTGTAAATCAAGGAGAAATAAAAACATTTTTACTTATCTTAGCTACGTCTTATTTCCATCAGTTATTTTGCCACTTCCACATTTTTTGTTAATAGTAAGGCTGCCATTACATGATATTCTCAACTGAGACAACTATAACATTTACTAAGTTTATGGCACATGGTCACAGCATAATTGTTGATGCCCCAGTGAGTTACATTACTCTCCAGCTTTTCACTGGGCATTGGATAGTAATGGTCTGTGAAAATAGTATATCAACTATTGCCTGGAATGGCACCACAGAATAAAATGTTGGTGGGCTAAGTTAGATGTTAAGTTTTAAAGATTCTATGTTTTTGTCTATATGATCCTCTCAGAAAAAGGATATTTTTTAGATCCATTATCCAATTGTAAACATTTTTTCTTTTGATTTTAAATACACTTTTTTTTGCTGTTCAGTTTCATTTTTTGTGTGCTCATGTGTGTGTGCATGTAACAGTTTTATTTCAATCACTACAGTCAAGTTTTTACTTCCCATTCAAGCTGTTACCAAATGAAAATTCAATATTATAACAAAAATCAATGTTCCATGTGGTAGTTTTGTTACATTTGAAAAATATTACATATAAACTAAAAAAAGTACTTATAAATAAATATACTTTTTGAAGTGACATGGATGTGTGGGTGGTGTAGAAGGGATCAGCTGGTTACGTTCAAGTTCCAGCCTAGATGGTATCACTCACTTTTGTGCCTTTTTTTTTTTTAAATCATTTTACTCAAAGTAAGGCAATAAAGTCCCTAAGATTCAAGGGAAAAAAATGTCTTTTTGATATACCATTTTTTTGCGGGCACAAAGGTAAAGATTTTGCCAAAATAGATTAAAACTTAATTACTTTGCTTTCTAGTTGCAAAGATTATATTCAAGCTGCTATTGCATAGTTTATGCCTGGATATAATTTTATGGCACCAATATTCAGAGAACTTAAAATGATTACTTGGCTAATTATTTTAATGTATCATTTTACTTGCAATTCTTACCACGTGACCCAAACGATAGCGCATCTATTTTTAAAAAAAACACATTATTGCCAACTAAGAATGTTTTTACATTTAAGTAACGAAGTAATCGAAATAAGTGCTGCCTAATTTTAACATAAAAAGACATGTCCGCGCATACGTAGAACTCCTTTTGTGGAACCGCACTCCATTGGCAGGAAGTTGTTAGCAGCTGTTGAGTAGAATTTGCTCTCCAATGAATAACCACATGTTGAACGGTCCACTTCCTTTTTCCCGCGGTTTTTTTTTTTTTTTTACTCTTGTTGAAAGAACTACACAGCAATAATAAACATTATAAGAACAGTAGAACGAAATAATGGTTTTACTTTTCTTCATTTATGCGTTTCTCCTTTCCACATATTTTGGTTTAACTTATTCTCAGCCTAACTTTATCATCATGTTGATGGACGATGTAAGTAATTACCACATATTATTCACTCAGAAAAGAAAAATGTTAAAAAACTTAAACATCTCTTTTTCCTCGTGACGAAACTCGGCTCGTTTTTACTTTGAAATTATTCTTCCGTGCTCGCCACACATAATAAAAACTTGACTAGCACTTTTTATATTAAAAACTTTTTAAAATCATTTGCCACTTTTTTTTTCTTTATTTCTGTGGTGGCCTTAAATTTGCTTTTTAAACGGTTTTTACTTTTTAACTTCCATATAGGAAGCGATGTTATTTTTCGGTCTATTTCTTCTTATACTTGTACACTGTAGTGTACAGTATTCCATTTTTTTTTTTTTTGGTTCTCCGGTTCTAGTTAGTCTTAGTTTGTTTTTTGTTGTTTTTCTTGTTCTTTTATTAGTTTTATTTGATTTTTTTGAACAAGAACTACGATGATTGAAAGATACAATGACTAAATTAAAGTCTCCCTGCTTTGAGTCGCTTGAATTGACAAACTTTCCTCCAAAGTCTGAAAAGGGATGGTTTTTTTTTTTGTTTGTTTTTTGTTTTTTTTGCCCTGGGACAAACCAACAGTTTTTGTTTCACTGCAAACGGCCGGTAATTTAGATTTTTTCTTTCTTTTTAGTTTAATTTTTTTTTTTTTTTAATCGTAAAAAATGGAAAAAAAAAAAAAAACATTTTTTTTTTTGTTGTGATTTATTTTTTAATTGAACGTTAAAAAGTGTTGATTACTTCGAACGGAATGCTAAATTTCATAATTTATTTTAACAAAACTTATTGAGCAATATTTGTGGACTGTTAAGTATAGAAATAAAAGAAAGAGTACCCCCCCCACACACACACACACATGCAAAATAGAAGGCAGATTTTTATTAGCTTTACTTGCGCAATACAAACAAATTTCGTTTATTAATTTTTTCTAAAATTTGACAAAAGAGCAGTTATTTTCAAAGCATAAAAAAACGGTAAATTTTCATTTTAACACCCGAGCGTCATTCACTGCTGAACTATTTTCTTCCAGAAATTAGTACGCGCTTCCGTAAAGCGATTTTTTTATTTATTTATTTTTTTTTTTTTTTTGTAGTTAATTTAAGAAGAAAGTTAACTTTCGACTATATGTAAACATCGACAAATAAAAGAATAACAAAAGACAAAAAAAACACCTAACCCTATTTGAAAGTTAATAATTACAAGGAATTACTGTGAAGGAAGTAAATAGGCCCAAATTGTATACGTCCACCAACAAAATTCAGCACTTAATTACTTATCAATAAGCCGGTAATGGCTGACGAAAGACCAGGAAAAAGTTCTATTTTTTTTCAGGTCATTAACATCCAAAAAGCTAGGTTTCTTCAATATCTAATTGTTGTTTTGAGTTCAGCATATACATTTGCACGGAAATAAGACTATTTTAGAAAAATTTGAAGGGATATTAGAGCTCGGATGTTAAAATGAAAATTTACCAAAGAAACTATGTATTCGATTTTTTTCACTAATAACTTAAAACTAAAGTTAAAAAAAATAATTCTTCGCGGAGCTGACATTACGATTTTAAAAATAATTGTTGTTTTTTTTTTTTTTTTTTTTTTTTTTTTTGGGCACAAGAAATTTAAAAAAAAAAAATTAAATCCCAAAATTATAGAATTACAAATATACACCAAGTCCAGGAAAATGCAACACCAAAATCTGAAAGCGCGAGATAGAGCAAGATGCTTTCCACAAAGCTAAGCAAAGTATTATTAAGAAACATGAAAATCTCGTTAGAAACAAAGAAAACTGAACTATTGGTTCTCCTATATGGTTGTAAATGCTGGGTAATTTTGTCACAGTTGAAGAGACTTTAGGTAGCTTTTGTTGTTTTTGTTTTTAATAATTTCTCAAACAAGGGGGGAAAGTGAAAAAGAATGAGAAGACTTTAATGAGGAGAAAGGACAATAAAAAGAACAGGATTCATGAAAATGTCAATTGACATTTACATTTAAAATCTTGAAGATTGTAAGGAACTAGGAAGCAAGAAACCAAAAGGAAGTTCCACAGTCGAGAAGAGCAAGAAAGGTGACTCTCAGAATAGAACTTAGAGTTACATCTAGATGATGAGACTTAGTTATCAATCTAATAATACACTTAAATTCATGCAGTATAGAGGTACCAAGGAAGAAAGTTCATTAGAACAATTACCATACTGAAAGATACTGAGAATCCTTTGGACTGAACAAGGAGTTTTAGGGGAAAATGGAAATAAAAAGAACAATGTAGTTAACATCAGAAAAAGACAGTTGAAATTTATAGGACAGATAATTAGGAAAGTGGGCTTAGAAAATTTGACACTCACAGTTCATATTGAAGGCAAGAGAGACAGAGGAAAGTAGTGCATAACCAACCTAATGAGTGTGTTTAAATGGTTGGCAGATTAAGAGAGCAAAAAGACAAATTTTGCTAAAAGCTACAAAGGACAGGAAATTGTGGAGAAATGTAATCGCCCACATTTTGAATCGACATAGCATATCGTAATAATTGTACAGGAATTAAATAAAAACACTGACCTATGTAAATTTTCAGTATTCAAAAATTTGATTGTTTTAAAATAAAAATACTTGGACAATAGTTTAAAAAAATATCGTCTTTGTTATCACCCAAAAGCAAAATCAAAATTCAATAAATGGAGGAAAACGTGACCAGAAATAATCATTTCTGTCATAATACTATAGATTAAGTATACATCACAAATAGATAAAAAAAAAATCATAAAAAATTTTATTAAAGTTACTAGAGGGTTCAGTTTGCTACATAAATTAATTGTAAATTGAAACCAAAGACACATGGCACAGTGGATAAAGATATTTTAGCTCTTTTCCATTGCTTATAGTGTTGCCTTTTAAGTAATAACATCTCTCAAAATTTTGTCACTAGATGTAACTAACGCCTTTATCCACTTGAGGCACAGTGGATAAAGGCATTAGTTAGATCCAGTGACAGGACCCAAAGAGTGTGAGTTCAATACTCGGTTAAGGCAGTAGAGAACTTGGAGAGGGGATTAACAGGAGATAATTGACATCCATTAAACATGGCACATGGAACTAGAACAGTCTACCCCAGTGAGCAGAATAAAGGGTTCAGTTCGACATTCCAACCACCTGAAGAAGGCCGAAGCATACAACTGCCGAAATGTCGTAATAAATATGGCAACAAAGATGAGGACAATAGTGCAAATAAATATAGACAGATACTAATTTTTCTTTATGATCATGCATACTTTATGCAGGTAACTGATAAAGATTTTCTGACACATTGTTCTGTTCTTTTTGTATATGTAGGAGTGACAGTAACTTAAACTTAAGTTGAACAGAAAGAATTAATTTTGTGATAAGGTTTGTGCTATTATTACTCCCAGTACATACACTGGAAGTAATATAAACAAAAGTTTGAGTAACTATGAGCTTTGCAGAATATTGGTTGGGCAGGTGATAACAGATTTGAACTTACTAAAACTAGTATGATAACTTATTATTTAGGTTGTTAAATAAACAGCTACAAAAGATATCCAAACATAGTTTTCAAGTACCTTTGTTGACTTTTAAATTATGGGAAATATTAATTTGCCATTTTGGGAAATAAATTCCCCAAAGACATAGTAGGTTTGTTTATCCTGTCATTGAAAGCGATCTGGTGGACAATCAAAATGACAAGTCTTGTTTTGCAATTATTCTTACGTGCTCGTCACACGGGATAACAACCTGCCACTTAAGTAGAAACCAGTGCAGGAGACAAACTAATCCGCTCCTGTCACTTGCTAGGATTTCGAACCATCAAAACTTGACCACCTCCTATCGGAAACTTATTCATTTTAGCTCTTTTCCATTGCTTATAGTGTTGCCTTTTAAGTAATAACATCTCTCTAAATTTTAATACATATCTCATTGTATGGCGTTTTCTTGTCCAGAAAGCCTGACGTGCATATACTTTGATAACATCTTTCCCTACAAACTGTTGTGTTCCCCAGACATTTTGATGATTTGACAGATTTTGAATCTTCCTCCAATTCCATTGTTTTTGTTCTGAAACTGAAGAGGTTTAGGTCATAGGATCTTCTAACTTTCTATTCTTTCTTTTCCTCTCTTTTTTTTTTTTTAATACAGACTAAAATTGTAGGAAAGAACAGCAATAACTGAACAGTACAAAAGAAAATTAAATATAGGGATCAGTTCAGAATTCCCTGAAGGTTACCCAGTTTAATATACACCCAAGGAAGGCCGGTGGGTACAACAACTGAAATGTTGATAAAAAACAACAAAGGTGAGGACAATAGTCCAAATATAAATAGTGTAAATAAGACTAAAATTTTTAAATTTTCCTTTGAAGGGATAACATATTCTTTTTTTGTTTGTTTGTTTTTTTTTTTGTTTTTTAAATGAAAGTACCTCTGAAAGGACTTTTAAATAAGACATTAAAGGAAAGTAAGAAGAAAGGACTAACTACTAACTGTAAGAAAACAGAATGCTCATCCTGGATATGACAAACTACATTTTGATTGGGAGGTTCTGAGAAACTAGTAACCACCTCTTAATTGCTGTTGTTCCCAGTTTCACCCTGACCTGGAGTGGTGGCCCCTGTTAAGGTCCAAGCTATGGGCAAATAGTGAACCTCATAAACTGGGACCAAAACAGTATGAAAATATAGAAATACATTTTTATAGTGAAGGTGTCAGCAATACATTTTCATAGTAAAAAATATTACCAGCAATACATTTTTGTAAAAGAAATTACTAATGCTCCCAAGAAAATTAAATTTCAACATTAAATGGCCCATAAGGAGTTGATATGCCATTAAAGAAACAAAATAAAATACCTGGTTATCAGCAAAAGAGGTAACCTGAGGTGATCTATGTATTGGGGGACATTAAAAAGCAGTCAACAAGCTCAAACCTACCCTGTAAATATTGGTTTATGATGTAAGATAAAGATGTTTATCACATAAGATTATGCAGGAATAATAAACAAAATGTT